ACAACAATAACAAGACATATAGATTGTGTAACTTGGACTGGTAATGAGTGGGTGTTACCCCAAGAATAATTCCAATTCTCAAAATATAATTGAGGGATATAAACATTGAAGGTTTAGAGAGTTCGAACATAATGATGCTGTTGAATACTTGATCTGATTGCTAGATCACACTTTGTCTGTATTTATGACATTACAAAGCAGGACTCGAATGGCAACTTCTATTATTTCAGTTATCCTATATAAATCTCTTCATGTTATACATTATTAAATTCAATTACAGATGGAATGTTATGATTTGCATGAAGCCGTAAATTGTGTATATAATGGGCTTGTTTCAGTGAAAAATTTCATTTCGGCATTCTGAACTACTAACCCGACCTCTTCTCAGAGCACAATACATTTTTTCAATATATACCGAAATTCAATATACCTCATAACATGAAAACCGCGAGTCAAAGCTGTGTCCGAGAGAGGTCCTATTATTGTCATAAATGTAAAAACTAAACAAAGATAAGATTTCCACAGAATTCTCAATCACACGACATGTTTTGCTAACACAGTAGCTTCATCAGGTGAAATATTGGTGCGATGAAATAAACTAACCTTGGCTTGCCTAACTTTTATATATCCTACTTTCCCAACCTGAAGGATCAGAATCGCCTGTGGACAGGTTCGATAAACCTTCATTTCCGGACAATAGGCACAATATCCACAGGATTCATACATATTATCACCTGATAAAAAAACAAATTCAACAGTGGTGAACATTATCCGCGGACATAATATCCGCGACATTAAATCCGCGACATTATATTCGCATGCCAATATATCCGCGACACTATATCCGCGACACTATATCCGCGACATTATATCCGCGAAACTATACAATACATAATAATATATACAGCGATAAATAATTACAATATTATATTCGAAATAACATTAACAGATACAACAATAATAACGATATTATATAATAATTTCATAATATCACATTCAATCAAAAGACAATACATGGGCTACATTAGTCAAATAATCCATGATGTTATCTTCAGCATAACTACTAGCAATATTTTTCAGTCTCGCATTTTTCACACGATAAGCGCGACGTTGCGCGACAACAACAGTAGCTCCAGTTTTGATCTGGGTGATGGCGTTACCACCGATAAAACAAGGCCAGCAGACTCTGACGTAAACAGCTCGTGACGTCGCATACTCGGGCCATCTTCCAAGGCATTCGCGTCGATCGATCGTCAGTTTGTTTTTGTTTAAGAACGGTGGCGTAGGTAAATCGCGTGTGTGCTCGAATTCTCTTGTTGTTTATTCATCAAAATAATTGGCGGAGAAATCACTGTTTTGTGAAATATTTCGTATTATGATAGGCGAAATAACAATGCCTTACAAGTGTTGTGTTCCCTTTTGTCGGGGGAATTATGTGGGTGGTCCAAAAGTTCATGCTTTTAGTTTCCCGTTGGACAAGGAACTATCGAAAAAGTGGGTACATGCAATTCACCGCAAGGATTTTACGACTCCATCTGAGTACAGTAAAGTATGTGAATTTTATTTTACTAAAGATGATATTATTACGTCATCTACTGCAACCGATTCAAAAACTGGCAAAACTGTAACAATAGATTTGAAAATTCCTAGGCTCAAACGAGATGTTATTCCCGTTCAATTTCCCAACTGTCCATCTTATTTATCGAAAGATGTAAAATTACGCACAAGTCGTGATGAAAAACTTGAGATACTAGAGACTAAAAATTTGGCACAAGCACTTACCAAAAGTAAAACTGAATTCGAAAATTACCAGAAATCATTTTTCTACACAGAATTTCAAGAATTTCTAGTTGTATTAGAGTCTTTTCAGTTGCCCGAAAAGTGGTTCAAAATTATCGATTTGCAAAAAGTCACATTATTCAAATTGTCTCATTCTCCAGGGCCCATAATTACATATTCGGTTGTGATTGATTTTGTTTTGAATGTGGAATCATTTTTGTATGACCTAGCGATACAAACATGTCTGAAAGCCAATCTGAAAACACCTTTTATCTTTAATAATATCAATCAAATCAAGGAATTACTAATTGAAATAGATAAAAACGAGATACATGATTCGGGAAAATGTCTTGATAATCAGAAAAAGAGGGTTTTGAAACATATTTCGAATGCATTGGACTCTTTGGTTTCTGACTCAATACATTCTCAAATTTCTTTCTGAAAACGGTCATTTTCCTCGTGGCAATGAATGCAGAATTCATTCCAATGATCAAATTGCAACTATTATATTAACATGTACTACAAACACTCTACTAAAAAATTACTAATTCAAGTCTAACGACCAATTGGGTAAAAAATCCAACATCAGGAAATTGAAAACACTCACTGGCTAAGTTTTTAGGTAATAGGAATTCTCCAAGATAAATATAGGTAATTAGGTATAACAAACGGCATGTCTATCAAACTAAAATACATTTTCCCCAATTTTCTTTCGATCAATCTCATGATAAGTTCATGTTCTGCGGGCCCTGTATAAGAAGGTGTGAAGTTTACCTCTAATGATATTGAATCACTACAATTTTTGCCAATATATTTGATTCGAATGGGTTGCTGTAGGTGGGTATTTGTGTTTTATTCTGGTTTTTGCTTTGAAACTTCGTTTTTCCATAATAAAATCGAATGGGATGCGAAGAAGGGCTCAGTTGACGGCTGGCATCCTCTTTCAACCGGAAGCCCTTCAAAAAAAAAGCAAAATCGGCTCAATAATGATCTAAAACGCCAATCTGTGCATGATTGTATCCAACTTTTCCATTAAACCCTCTATGCCAACCCTCTATATTGTTATTCGTGCGGATTCTATCTTCCAACATTGACTTATAACAGTTCCACATAGAAATCGGACAATGTGGAACTTTACGGCGACGTCGACTTCGAGACTCACGCGCTATCCAAACTTCCTCGAAATAATCAATAATCGGCGATAATTCTTCATCATGACTATCATACACCTCAAATGCACTAGACAATCGAGCACAGGTGGACTCGTTGTACACTGATTTCAGTAAGGCTTTTGATAAGGTTGATCATAACATCCTTATCTCGAAGCTTGCTGGAATCGGTGTGCAGGGAGATGGTTATCATCCTATTTACACAATCGAAGCCAACTTGTGAATCTCAATGGATATAGGTCAGCACCGTTTGTGGTCACTTCAGGAGTTCCACAGGGTTCACACCTTGGCCCATTGTTGTTCTCGGTCTTCATTAACGATTTGATAGGGTGCTTTGAACAATCCAATATACTTTTATATGCGGATGACTTGAAAATTTTTGGAAAAGTAACCTCTGTTAAGGATTGTACAAAGATTCAAGAAGATCTATCAAAATTTTCAATTTATTGCAATCGCAACAGATTGAAACTATATAAATGTTAAAAAATGTGCTTGTATATCATTCAGCAAAAGCAGTACGCCGATTGAATTTCAATACTCCATAAATGATATTGTAATAAATAGAGTAGATCAAATCAAAGATCTTGGAGTATATTTTGATTCTAAAATGAGCTTTAATCCACATCTAGACTATGTAATCAACACCTGCAGTAGAACCTTAGGTTTCTTTTGCAGAATGTGTAGGGACTTCAACAATGAGGTGGCAATAAAATCAGTTTACTACTCATTTGTTTTCAGCAAATTGAATTTTGCTAGTGTCATATGGAACCCCTATTATAACATTCATAAAGTACGTTTAGAAAGGCTTCAGAATAGATTTGTGAGATTCCTTCATTTTAAAATGACTAATATGTATGTAATAACAGGTATTAGTGAAATTCGCACCCACTATAAGATACAACTTCTCGAACAGCGAAGAATTATCAATGATTTACTCATCCTATTCAAAATATTAACAAACTGTTATGACTCACCGAAATTAGTGTCGATGATTTCCTACCATGTTCCTCAGAGGTATACCAGAAATAGACAATTATTAGCGTGCTCCAATTATAATACAAATTTAGGTAAAAATTCTCCAATGACCAGAATGTGTGATTTATTCAACAAATATTGCAATGATGTAAACATTTTTTCCATATCTTTATATTCCTTTAAAAGAATTACAAAAAATATTTTTATTTCCTAATATCACGATGATGAGTAATTAGTATTCATTAATGAAAATGCTTACTATTTTTCCCGTATCGTATATATGATTGTCATTTTCATACCTCCTATGTAATTAGGTGTATTTTTGTATTTTTGTATTTGTTTAGACATGAATGTTAGCTCTGTAACGGATTTTATTAGTGGATGCGTGTATGGGTAACAACCTGTTAGTATCCCAAATTTCGAATAAATAAGATAAATAAATAAATCATAAAAATCTGATTTGATCAATGTATCATACGCAAAGATATGCACATAATATCATTCTGAATATTCGACAGAAAAAAACTACTTTCCTGGCTATCTGCCACGTCGAACTTTGTTCAACATCCAAAAAGAGAGCATGAAAAATAAAAATCCTATGGAATTGAGAATTGACATCATCTCTCAAATCGGAAAATTCTCAAAATTCTATTTAATCAAAAGGAGATTCAAAAATATTCCCCCCAAAAAAAACATCATCTGTAGGGCCAATTTTTGACACATGTCTATATGAATTTTTGTACTATTTTTTTTTTCTAGAATCTGTAGTTTTATGTCATGTTTCTTACAATGAAAAGGATATAAGGATAAGGAGACAAAATCCCACAAAATCTGTAGAAATAAAGACACTGTTTTCAGACATAATGTGTATACGTGAATTTAAGCGAATAGGTATTGCATATGATTTAAACATAAGATAATAAGAGATCGTAATGTGATAAGCAGTGTCCTTGATCAGCAGTACCTCAGGTGCTTCATGTCTCGTGACCTCCTGATGAGAATCACTTCGAGATACCTTCAATCAGGTCAATCAGTGATTCTTGATTCATAGTTGCAAAAACGCTGTGTTAGACTATCCTAGGAGGTATTTGATCCTTTTATGAATTGAATAGCCACGATGATGTAGGTCGTTATATTCGTCAACATGAATCCCAAAATCGTGAAATCGATACCGAAAAAGGTCGATGCAGTCAGTTGGGGGTTACGTCGAGCAACCTGTTGTGCCAATTCAATCAATTCATCTCTGAGAACATCGTTCGTATCCAGATCTACAATGATAGCTTGGCAAATGTCCTTGGTAGTTTTTGCTTCCTCAGAAACGAAATCACCGACCGCTGCTAGAATCACAACCTCCACCTGGAATCAAAATTGAATAATGAACCAGAGCACATGAAGACGTAAGTAAATATAAGGTCGTGAATATGATACACCAGTCGAAATCTACAATAAATCAACAAAACATGAGGGGAAATATAATATGCTGACCAAATTATTAAAGTATGCTGACCCAGCATTTCTGAATCGATTTTTTTCTTCATATTTGATATTTGAATTATTTCGATCCACTCCGTAGTTAATTCTTACTGATTTTCATAAATCCTTAATACTGACGCATCATTTCTGGTTCGTATTTTTTGTTTAAAATCACATATCATCTGGATATTATGAGGAAATATAAAGATGCCAGTGAAATAACTTCGATCTACCCCTTCAGAGGGGTAATTTATATTTGCCGTTTTTCGAAAATTCTTGCTGACCGAGTATTTTTGGTTTGCATTTTTTTATCAAATGACATATTTGTAGGTATATTTGATGAAAATATAAAAATGTATCAGTGAAATGATTCCGATCCGCCCCCTCAGAGGGGTAGTTTATTCTTGCTGTTTTTAAAAAATTCTTGTTGACCGAGATTTCTGGTTCGTATTTTTTTTTGAAATTGCATATTTGAATATATTATAGACATATATATATATATATAGATGATACCAGTGAAATATTTTTTTTATCGCTTGGAGCTCACGAAAGGGAATCCCTGAAATGTTCAAAGAACATATCGTGCTTTCCTAGGGAGGATAGGGATAGGAAGTAGGTATTGGAATTTTTTTTGAACTTATGGAGATCATATGTTGTTGGGAATACTTCCTCAGGTAATGACTTCCAGAGCCTAGCCGTTCTATGTATGAAAGAGATTTGATAAAGTGCTGTTCGACAACTTTCGAGGTTGACAACGAGAGGATGTGCTGACTGGGCTTGTCTAGTTCGTCTGACTGGTATTGCTAGTGAAGGGATGATAGCAGAGATTTCCGAAGAACATTTCCCGTGGAAGTATCGGTAGAAAAGTGAAAGGTCGCCGACCTTTCTACGGAGTTCCAATGATGTCAAAGAGTGAGTGAGTGTGGCGTCACCCACCAGGCGGACGGCTCTTTTCTGGATGGAATCTGAGAGCATCAGCGTATGTTTTGGTGCTGAACCCCATATGTGGGAACAGTATTCTAGAACAGGCCGTATCTGCGCTTTGTAGATCATGAGGAGCTGTTGAGGTGTAAAGTAGCTTTTCGCACGTAACAAGAATCCAAGTTTTTATGAAGCAGCTTTTGCGATGGATCTGACATGATTATCCCATGAAAGAGTGTTGCTGATGGAAATACCGAGCATATATATGGTGGGCTTTGTGGGGATGGTGGTGCCAGACATTACAATGTCGGGCATACTAGAGAAAATACAGGCTTGAGTTTTGGTGGCGTTTAATTCAACTAGGTTGTTGGTTCCTTAGGCTGTGATTTCAGCAAGGTCTCCATTGACAGCAAATACCTGCCTACGCCGTGAGTTCTTAGTTTCCTGGGAAGAAATGGGAATTCTGGAAGACAACGCAGTATGGAGGTTACTATCATCTGCAAAGCTGGAAGAAGGAATAATGTTGGTGTCACAATTGATCCTTTCATCTCAGACGAGCCACCCCGTATATTTCTCATCAGTGTTCGACGTATAGTCTAGACTTCAACGAGCAATTCCTTCATAGAAGGCGCTTCAATCTCTCAAACTTGAATAGGGGAGAGGGGTTGAGTGATACTTCATTTGAAAGGTATTGGAAGCCTCTTTACAACGGTGTATCAGAAACGTAAATTTGATGAATTATTCTCGTCAAAAACCAATTTTGTAGCTCGAATGAGCATCAAGAGATTTTGGATATTTTTACAATGTACACTCGTCTTCAGTGAACATGTGGCTGTTGGACGATATGAGCGTTCTTGTTGCAGCGGTGATTAAGAGAGCTGACACCGTCCATGTGCGACATGTTCTCTGAAGACGATTGTACACACAAGCCCATTTTTATTGAGCCCTCTTTCACAAACGCAAACAGTCTTCAAAAAAATCACATTTCGAAAAAATGTAATTGTTGTATCATGCTTACAAAGTCAAAACTAGTATGGGACTGCTTAGAAACCCTAAATGAACTGGGCAGTCAGAACAGACTGACTCTAGCATGGGTAGCAGCACATACAGGGTACGAGGGCAATGAAGAGGCAGACTCACTTGCCCGAGCAAGAGCAAACAAAGCTCTGAATGGCCCAGAACCCTTCTGTGGTATCGCGAAAGCTATACAAAAGACTATTATCAATTCATGGATGCAAACCTAATCTCAAGAATATTGGAACAATTCGCCAGGAATGAGACAGGCAAAAGAGTTTATTAAAAAACTATCGCCAACATTCACAGAATATCTACTGAGCCAGAAACGAAGTTCGACTAGAATACTAGTGGGACTTCTCACAGTGCATCGCAGGCTCAACAAATACATGAGTACGATAGGTCTGACTGAAGAACTACTCTGCAGGTTCTGTCAGGAAGAGGAGGAAACAGCAGTACACATACTTTGCCATCGTGAGGGCTTGTCAAGACTGAGGTTCCTTACGCTGGGTGAGGAAAAACCAGGAGCCCAAAGATACACAGGGGATCTGAAAGCTAGCCTATGGAGTCTCATAGAGAAGGCGGGGCTAGCCGAAGAACTCTAATCGATTTGGAGGGCAGACACGATAGATCTGAGAAGGTCGCGGTGTGAAGGCAGATAGCCCGAAGGCTACATTCTAAATCTGATCTAATTATCTAATCATGCTCACAATGAAAAAATCGTTTATCGATCAAGAACTGTCTCCCAAACGAAATCATATGACGTGTTTCGGGAAATTTTTCCACTCACTATGTGATAAGAAATAAACGGAGAGGGGCTCATCCCAGATGGAACACCCTGTATAAGCACTGCGCATACACTTCAACCAACTTTTCCAAACCAACATCTTTCCATTCGCTCTGGTGAATGTCACAAATCTATCTTTCAACTCCATTGACAAACAGCTCAATCTTGTAGGCTCATTATTCAAATTTGCATTCGAATTTTGAGCTGTATATTCAAACTGATAAAGTCGAATGAGTGATATCTCATTATTCTACTTTGATGAGAACTCACTCCACTATACTGTTAACTTTCCAGGTAACAAGCTGACGTCATTTGTACGTCATTATCACGTCAGGCCTGACGTCAGGATGACTTCCAAAATGACGTCATAATGACGTTTATATGACCTTCTAAGTCGAAGACAAATGACGTCATTTTCATGGCATCAAAATGACGACATCCTAATGGTGTCAAAATGACGTGATCTTTACCCTTATTTATATCACTGAAATCTTTTGCACGTTTCAGTTTATTTTGTTTTATTTCGAAATTTTTTGTAGGTAAAAAAAAAGAGACTGTTGTACGGGGTTGTAACAATATTATCAGAAAAAATAAGATGTTTTTTGTATAATTATATTGATGTTCCTTTACCACATTAAATACAAAAAGATATAATAGGTAGGTACTATATAATTACCAGTTTCATGAAAATTTCTGTTCATTGGGAACTTATCCCATTCGGATGATGCACTCGAGAGATTTCTCAGAGCCCTATATGGTATTCCTTCAATGGCGGCCAATTCACATCCTGCTTTTTTGGCGTATCCCATGCACTTGTCTAAAATAATGACAAGCTGCCATCCTCATATTTTACTACTTGATACATGATTATGAATAAGTATGACCACTACACCAGACCACATAGATAGCCAAATAACATGATAAAGATGGCCTTCTATATATTGTTATTTTGTTGTTATAGTCATCATGACGGCAACGGAGAAGCAAAAGCGAACGGCGATTCGCAACCGGCAACTGCTTGGCGCTTGGCCGCTTGGCTTGGCTTGGCGCTGGCGGTCGACGTTCGCATGTCTGCGCAAGGTCCGTGCCGACCAATCAAGTACAGTTTTCTACGCACTCTCCCGCTCTGATTTGAATTCGCATTGCAGAATAACAACGTTATAAGATTTTTATGACGTGAAATTCGGTCTGATATTTTTGAGTAGGGAGAATACTTTGCACAGAAGGTATATAATCAACAATTATCTCAGAGACCATCGAAAACACAAAGCTCGCACAGATTAGAGGAAAATTTATTATAAAGCATATTATATGATGAGTGACATAATAATATATGTTATATAACATAACTACTAAAGTTTTCTTATAACAGAGATGGGAAACTTCTTGATTATGAATTTTCCTTGATGTAGATGGCTCAATAAATAATGGTCATAATTTGTCATTATAATGATCATCAGATGACGTCATATTGACGACATATCAAGGACGTCTATATAACGTCATATTAGGTACGTCAAAATGACGTCATTTTCAGGTCATATGACGTCAATGACCATAAAATGACCATATATTGACGTACAAATGACGTCAGCTTGTTACCTGTGTCATGAATATAATAAAATAATGATACTCACGGACATAGAAATGACGTAAAATCCATTGAAATATCGAGTAGGTCCTGTGGGATAAAGATCATCCCTTGGAACTCCAACTAAAAATCCTCGAGCCACATAGATAGTATGATAAACCATAAACATTATGCAGAATAGTACATAAAACAAAACAGCGATACCGAAAAGCTGATTCATCTCATCCATCAATTCACACAGATGATTATACATCCTTGCAATCTTGCGTATTTCTTGAGTAGGACTCTCTTTGTTTTTCCTCTCATCAGATTTGAAAATTCTCCATGGAAATACTGATATTCTATGAGAGTTTTTGTAGACACGGTGTAGCGAAGCATTCAGAAATTTGAATCTTCTGTATATCTCTACAGCAAGCATGACCCACAGGGAAATACATGTATTCATCTGGAATTTTTGGAATATTTTCTGGGAATATATCAAGAATAATTTGAATGGGTACTTTCCAAAATAAGACTCAAATTGGCTTAAGATACAACAAAGATAAAACAAATTGTGACCAACAAAACAAG